TTAAAATATATATTTTTTTTACTAATTTCTCTCTGTTTTTTAAAAAAACATTTTAAAATTTTTTTGTGAAATTTTCATAAAATTTTGATTTTCAGGTTCATGGCAGAGGGGGGGGGGGCAGTATACGCCCTCTTCCATCAAAGCAATCTATACACCACTAGTTACTCTTTGTTATAGTGTTGAAATATATTTTTTTGTTTTTTATAATAGATTTAATCATTTTAGTAAATATTGTAATAATTAAAAAAATGATTTAGTAATTTAAATGATTAAAAAATTTTGATAGGGTGTGTTAAATCTTCCCCAAAACCCAACACCCAACTTTAAGATAAATCTGTAATATTTGCTAGTGATGTTGAATAAATAAATAATAACTTGTTGTATATAAATATTACTAATTTTATAAAGAAAACACTCTATTTAAAAAAAATAATTGTATTTTTGTGAGGTGTAGGTGGCGGATTAGCACCCCCTCTGGATCCCTCCGTGCGCCCTTTACCTAGAAACTAGTTTGAAATTATAGCCCATTTTTACATCTATCTTTTGATACTAAGTTATAGATATTTGAATAAGAATTGTCAAAGTTACAATAATTTATGTAGAAAATTTTTTTTTTTTAACCACAGTTTTATCAAGAAATCCATATATTGAAAAATTGCTACTAAAAATGTTATATTTTTTTATAGAATTGTCTAATTTTCATAATTTTTTCACCTTTAAAATACTGTATTTGAGGGCTTTCCAATGATATATAGCATTCTAGTATTGGATCAATTTAAAAAAATTAGTCCCACTGAACTATATTATAACTGGATAGCGCATCTCTAATATCGAAATTGAAGCCGAAAAAATATTTTGGCGGCCATATTGTGAGGACCCACGGTTTGTTATGATGCGCTTGAATTTTTAAGAAAAGAAACCAAAAAAAAGAAGAAGTAAAGAATAGGATTGAAAGTATCAAGAAATTAAGAAGAAAAAAAGCAATATCAACAAAGTAGTAAAAATCTGTTGTAAAATGTCTAACGAATGATCGTATTCTTTAGATAATTTATCTAGATTCTTATGTTGATATTCAAAAAGTATGATTATAAGTACAAATTGAAATATAATACTCCTATAAGTAAGTAAATAATCTTTTTAACGTTTTTACTTTAATATAAGAGTTGAAAAGCATTCTATTTATTGTTGTAAATAATATAATATAATATAATATAATATAATATATATATATATATATATATATATATATATATATATATATATATATATATATATATATATATATATATATATATATATATATATATATTACGTTACTATTTATAATATAAAATAGTTTTGTGTTTGTAAAAGTTATAGTTATTGATAATTAAATAATACCAATTTACTTAATGTTTTTCTTATATTTTTCCCTGACATTTTCTCAGTGGCTTGTTTTCCCAGATCATAAAATCGAACTTTGCAATAGCATTGAGCAATTATTTTGATTAATTTAAAAACATGATTTTCATTAATAGCAGTATCAAACATATGTTCATGCAAGTCTCAAAATAAAACAGATCCTAAACTTTCTAAAACTGAAATAGATATAACTTCTGGGATATTTTTGGACTGTGGCAGTTTTCCAGGTATTGTTGCTAGCATTCTTGTAATTTTTTTTTCAGTTTCTTCACAAACAGTAATAACATCTCTTGTAGGTTTTATAAGACCACCACTGTCCTTTACTTTAAGAAAATTGGATTCTGGAGCATGTTTTTTAGAACCAAGTGCATCACAACATAACATACAAAATATTTGCTTTTTTGCCATTTTAACAACGAAGCCCGATATATAAGAGATAGCTGCTTTTTTATACTCAGTTACCAATGAAATATTAGTTATAAAAGAATAATCATGATCAATAGACTTAGATGTTCTTTCAGATAAGTCATATTTTCTTATTATGTTTACTGATGTAATATCCAAATTGCTGTTATTTATCATAACTGAATCATCTAAGACATTTAAAATATTTTCTGCTTGTAATTTTTTACAATTTTCTGATCCTCCCTCAATATGGCTCCGAAGTAAAAGTCGCTTATATGCTGCAGTGAATTGTTGCGCTGTTGGGTTATTGTTAAATCCTCCTGATCCTCGTATTGATGGTCTTGACTTAACTTATATGTTAGAAGATATTTCATGAGAACTAGGGCATCTTTTGCAACCGGGGATGAATCATCTTGTATGCCATTCCCAAGATCAACATACCCCTTAAATGCTTTTCCATCCCAAGATATGTGTTTTTTAATGGCCATTTCATCTAACATAAGTGAGCAAATGACTTTAGATCCTAATTTTTCAGCTTCTATAACCTTGTATTTAAGTGCTGCAAAAGCTGGCTTTGTAAAACCTGGTTTTGCTGAAACTTATCCATACCATTTCCTAATTTGTACTTGATGTGGTAAATTAAAATTAAATGTTTTTCGCACATAATCATAAGCTTTGCTTGAATAAACCTGCAGGGTAAGTGCAAAGGATTTGATTTCTTCTGAATATTTAAATCCATTACCATGATTTTTATGCATAATCATTCTTCTGGTTAGAGCCTAAGGAACTTCTGAAAATGTTTTTAAAAGCATTTCTTCACAATTTGACGATATTTTATGTTTTTGACTTAATATTTTTACTACTGATTTAAGAGATGTTATTTTTTTTTTTCATTCTTCAAGATTTTTGCTGTTTCGCTTTTACTTTCTTTTTTAAAGACTCAATTATCTTGTTTCTACGATCTGTTATTTGTTTTTCTGAAGTCAAACTGCAGTTATATTATTTTTTGGGGGGAGCCAACTTTCATGCTGAAAGGTATAACACTTGTTTCCAAATCACTTTTTTCAGAATTTTCAAAAGTTGACCTATTAACAGGAACTTTCTTCTCTTTCATATTCTAATATTAAAAGAAAAAATATATATTAATATATAGCTGTATAATTTTTATATTAAAAATTATATCTAACTAGAAGGAACCTCTAAGTTGTGTTTACTCACAGAGCTTAGCTAATAGTTCATGCAGTATTTATAAAATAAAAGCATACAATAGCAAAATAGTTATTATATGTTTTAGCTGCTTACCATACAGTTGTGTTATAAACCCTCTAGCACACTGCATAGGGTAATTAAGAACTAAAAGGTACATATTGAACAAACCTGTGCAATACATAAAAACATAATTGAGCATATACCTTTTTTAAATGGTCAGGGAATTTTTTAAATCTTTTAGAAAAAGAATTTTCCCTTAACCTAACAGTTTGTCCAGTTCTGTCAATATCTTTTTCTAAAAAATGATCAGAACATATCAAGCTGCTACTACTTGGACTCCATTCTTGACGGTGTAGTTTGATGGTCCATTTCTTTCTTTTTTCAGTGTTTGAAGGAAATCTGAATAAAAGTACTAGGAAAAATAATGTTTGATATTTCATTAAATTTGTTATACTTTTTGCACAACTGATATTATTTAAATCCGTATGTTCACATTGCAAGCAAACTAACAGAGGTCAAAAAATTTTAAAATGTTTTTATTTTTTAAAATAATTAAGAAAGTCACCTATGAAATGTTCTAGGGTACTTTCGTTTTAAAGATGATTCATCATTAGAGATTCCATCACTATCACTTCTTTTACTGTCACCATGTTTTCTTTTATTGCAACCAAATGCAACACATTGTGTCCCTCGCTTTTTGGTATTTTCTCCAGACATTTATAGAATAATTATTTTACTGAAAAATAATTATTATCTTTTAAAAATTTATTAATAATTTTCCAAACGTTTTATCTATGTTAAATACAAAAAAACATAAAGTTAAGCCACCAAACTAAGGAAATAGCTTGTTCACCTAACAATATTTGTTTTTCTCCGTGGGTCCTCCCAATATGGCGCTGGCGAAAAAATTTTGGCTTCAAAAATTACGGTGTTTCCTTAAGAGATGCGCTATCCAGTTATTATAAAGATCAGTGATTAGTCCACGTACCTATTAATATAAATTTTATTTCTCAAACATACTACAAACACTCTAATATGATATATTATATATACTTATAATTTATGAACCAATAATTTTTTATGAATATCTAATCTAAAAACAAGATATTTAAATTAATTTACTTTCAAGAATATCACTCTAATTTTATTATTCTTTTCTTTCTATTTAAAATCAAGTTGTGTGGTCTTGTTCATCTATTAAATTGTCTATTTGTCTGAAATCACACACAAGTTACCCGACCTCTTCCAATCTGTAATTTGTTTACTTCTATAAAAAATTCTCTAAATTATCTTCCTTATTTAGCAACCTTAAATTATATATTCTAAATCATTGTTGAGTTAAGTACAGCATAACAAATCACATCACAAACCAATGCATAAAATCATGAAATAATTTATCATTTTTTATTCATAGAATAATTTATTTTTTATATTCACTTTATATCACTAAACTTTACTACTAAAACTCATCTTTATGTCTTTTTATTTTGGAGAAATGTAATTACTGTTCGTAAAATGTTGAGCTCATTGTGGGTTATTATTATTGCTCTTGGTATGATTATATGTAATATAAATATCAACATTATTTTACTTCTATTCATATCACTATTACTTATTGTTATTGTTTAATATTAAATTTAATATTTATCAATATTATTGTTACTATTATTATTGTTATTATTGTATTAATATAAATATAATTGTTAACATTACTTACCTCGTTATAATTGTTTTAATATTGTTATTGCTATTATTATACAATTGGTTTTTACTTAAGATTAGTATTAGTAGTATTTCTAAATATCCATGTTTATGTTGCATACATACACATATATGACATATATGTGTGTGTTTTTTTTTAAGCAATTGCAAGTTTCCAAATACATGCAAAGTAAAGTAAGTAAAGAAAACAATAATTTTCAATTAGTAAATTTAGTATTATTAATTAATTTTAATTTTTTACATTTTTTATCCTTATTTTTATAACATGATCAATTAAAATGCTCTAGAACTTTGTTCTGGTGCATTTTAATTGAACTAAGTATAGAATTTTAGTTTATTAACCTGGGTAAATAAATTTCAAATTGAGAGAGTTGAGAGAGTTGGAGCATTTTTAGAGAAATATCAATGTTTCCCTAATGTGCTATTGGTAAAAAAATTTTTTATTTATTTGTGATTTCATATATTTTTGGATAAAATGAAATAGTGTTTGAAAATCACAAATCCCTTTTTAAATGAGAAGGTATTTTCAAAACTGCTATGTCCTCTAATAGGTTATTCGATAAGTTTTCTCTGCTTTTTAAAGTTGTATGCTTTTTTTATTATTATTATTTAATTCAGATTGTTGGCGACATGGCACATGTATTAAAGTCTTCTGTTACAGTTGACTCAGCAAGAATGAAGACATTGATACACTTTTGCATTAAGGAATACACAAGTTGGCAGTTCCTTGCCCACTGCCACCCAAATACAGGTAGGTATGCATGCATACACAACCCTCAAAATTAGTAAAACTAAAATGAGTTATAAATTGTCGACATTTTAAGATATGAAAAAATATTATTGTTAAATTTTGAGTTTGTAAAATTTATTTTCAGATTATTTTATGAAGTTTTTCATTTTCTGACTTCGTGATGGAACTTATTGGAGTACACTTTTTTTGGACATAGGAGGAGTATTGCCGCTACAAGCATGAACAATAATAAAACATTCCAAAGAATAATTTGTTATTTCAACGATTAAATTTGTTGTTTAAATGTATAAATGCTTGTTGAATATTCTTATTATATATCATTCTAATTTCAAAATAATGTTTCATTTTTTCCATAGAAAAAGTACTTTTGTAATTGTTTTATAGTTCAGGGTAAATATTATTGAAAAAAAAATAGAATCTTATTTTAAATAAAAATGACATTGAAACAAGTAAAAAATGATTTTTTTTAAGGAATATAAGTTCTTGAAACAAGTAAAAAATACATAATTTTAAGAATATAAGTTCTTGAAACAAAAAAAAATATTCTTGTTTTAAGAATAAAAATTCTTAAAACAAGAAAAAATGTTCTTATGTTAAGAACAAAAATTTTTAAAACAAGAAAAAAAATTCTTATATTAAGAATAAAAGTTCTTAAAACAAGAAAAAAAATTCTTATATTAAGAATAAAAATTCTTAAAACAAGAAAAAAATTCTTATATTAAGAATAAAAATTCTTAAAACAAAAAAAAAAATTCTTATATTTAGAAAAAAAATTCTTATATCAAGAATAAAAATTCTTAAAACAAGAAAAAAATTCTTATATTAAGAATAAAAATTTATAAAACAAGAAAAAAAATTCTTATATTAAGAAAAAAAATTCATATATCAAGAATAAAAATTCTTAAAACAAGAAAAAAATTCTTATATTAAGAATAAAAATTTATAAAACAAGAAAAAAAAATCTTATATTAAGAATAAAAATTCTTAAAACAAGAAAAAAAAATTTATATAATAAGAATAAAAATTCTTAAAACAAGAAAAAAATTCTTATATTAAGAATAAAAATTCTTAAAACAAGAAAAAAAAATTTATATATTAAGAATAAAAATTCTTAAAACAAGAAAAAAATTCTTATATTAAGAATAAAAATTCTTAAAACAAGAAAAAAAATTCTTATATTAAGAAAAAAAAATTTTATATCAAGAATAAAAATTCTTAAAACAAGAAAAAAATTCTTATATTAAGAATAAAAATTCTTAAAACAAGAAAAAAAAATTCTTACATTAAGAATAAAAATTCTTAAAACAAGAAAAAAATGCTTATATTAAGAATAAAAATTCTTGAAACAAGAAAAAAAATTCTTATATTAAGAATAAAAATTCTTGAAACAAGATAAAAAATTCTTGTTTTAAGAATAAAAATTCTTGAAACAAAAAAAAAAAATATTTAAGAAAAAAAGTTCTTAAAACAAGGAAAAAAATTCTTATTTTAAGAATAAAAATTCTTGAAACAAGAAAAAATATTCTTACGTGGCGGACAAGTCATTTTTTTCTTGTTTTAAGACTTTTTGCTTAAAACAAGAATCTAGGATTTTGCTGTGAATGGAGGGAAACCGCCTGATAGTACTTAACCATAGAGTGAAAATATTTTTCCGATGAATAACAGAATGTTTTCATATAGGGTGGCAAAAAAATTTTTCTTTCGTAAATTCAAAACCGACTAGCCTCAGAGAGAGAAAATTAAAGATTAGGATTTTTTATAGTTAAAATAATTCATTTTAACTATGCAAAATAGCATCATCTCTACTGATGGGTAATAAACTCTGAAATTTTAGATCATCAATAGCTAAGTAAAAAAAAATTAGATTTAAAAGCAGCCAAAATAGTCTCTAAAATAAATATTCTAATTTTTTTGGCACAACTTTTTGGACACAGCTGTATTGAAGAAGACAATTACAAACAATTGCTGAGCCTCCGTTACCACATACTACTTCATTGTCTTTCGGTATTAACCTTCTTAAAAACTTATTTTGACCTTTTCTGGCAAATTTTATTCATTTTAACTGCTAATGAGAATTGGGCATAGTGCACACTAAAGATGAAGTTTGCATTGATTTCCTAGAAAACTTGTATCGTGATATAGTACAAGTAAATTTGGTTTTCGAAGGTTTAAACAGTAGCAGTGATAACCAAACTTGCTGACAATATAAAATTACAGCTTTCAAGTTCATACAGAATAGCAAATCTATGATTGTAATATCTTGATAACAATAGCGTTATTTAAATGTTTATCAAAGCTGAGAAGGCTGGAAACTGGTTAGAACATCTGGAAACGTATGCTTAATTTATTTGCCCCAACGAAGCATATAAACTATGCTAAAAGTGCTTGGTTTTGTCTTCAACCCAAGCATTCCCTGAATTCAAAACACTCGTGGTTTTATGAGCAGTATTGTAAATCAGGTTACCCTTCCATCAAATGCATGGGTATGGGTTACTACTGATTTAACCTTCGGCCTGAATTAGTAATTAAATAGAGCATGATTAGATACAACGCAGTGGATGTTTAACTAAAGGAAGTCGTGTGTTAAGACGACAACAAATCTTTGGTTCAGTAAGTTTGCACAAATGTGTAGCAATCCATGATTTAATGTCAACACTGAAAAAGCATTGTTTTGAGAGCAGTCAGCAGTATTGTAAATCTGATAAGTCACGTGATAAGTTACGGGAATATTCACGGTTACAAAAAACTAAAAATTTTATAAAACAGCTCAAGCTGTTTAATTCTTTTCTTTTAAGATTCGAGACATGCATATTTACAATCAAGACGTGTATATTTATCAATGTATACTTACTGGTCTATGTGCTAGTGTAAATAATCAAATCAATTATGATCAAGCGGAAAAAAATTGAAGATTCAAAATAGTCGTGATAGTGTTGCATCAAAACAAGCAAATTATTTAAAGCAGATCAAAACACTTGCCATACTAAATGCTAATTAAAATACTGATCCGTTGATTCTTTTCGAGTATATTTAAAAAAGGTTTGGTTGTCACATTTTATTGTATGTTTGGATTATAACCATGTAAGAACAGTTTTATACATCTGCGTAACTGCCTTAGCTTTCTGAGTAAATTTTTTAAACATTTTATTTGGTGATTCTAGTTGAACTCAATAGGGTTAACAGATTTCTATATTCGAATCAGCATTTGAAGAATATTAATTTGGGCAATCAGTTACACAATAAGGACAATAATCAGCATCAGTAAAAATATTAGGATATATTGGGTAAACACCTGTTGCAGAAAACCACTTAAAATATTCTTGGAAGATACAGCCTGTGATACAGCTAGTGATGTCGTACTTTTAAAAGGCATTATATAGCGCTAACCACTAAGATTGAATAAGTGGTTTAAAAAAACAACACACGCTGTAGAGGTAAATGTGACAAATGTCCCCATTTATTTTGTGACACGTAACTCTTTCTATGTCAGTAGAATAACACCTGCAAATTTACCCAAAAGCGTGTGAATTTCATAAATTATGTTTTTAAATGAAAAAAAACTTTATAAGTTTAAATTCAAAACATAATAAGTTAAATTCCGTTTAGAAAAAAAAATATTCTAAGTATGTGAAATTCAACTTTTACATATCAAAAACACATATAAACAAGTAACTTTTTTTCTACACGCTAAAAAGAGATGAAAATAACTGTGAAAATGTTTTTTTTTAACAAGATTTCTGATTTAATGATTTAAAATTTTGATTCATGATTTAAAAATTTTAAGTCATAACTAGATTTTTTGTAAATAATTTGAGAAGCCGTAGCGCAGTGGTTAGCGTGGTTGCATCAGAATCTAGAGATCCGTAGTTCAATGCTACCTCTGGGCAAGTTTAATAACGTCGGTAAGAAAGGAGGCGTGAACTTCCTTTCAAATGTTCTTCCGCGGTGCTCTGTGATAAGACCGTAAGGACTTCTAACTAAAACTTCTGACCTAAAATAAAAAAAATAAACTTTGTGACAAACAATTCGCGTGACAAACTACCACGCTCCCCATACCTATAAAGACACACAAGGTACGTAAACAATGTAAAATGTTTACCTAAACAGGAGCAGCAAATTAAACCGCGAATGTTAATTTTAGTTTCAAAGCGGGTTTGTTAAATACTCATTTTTCAATAAACAGCTAACTTTTAACACAGCTTTTAAAAATTCTTCATTGATTATTCAGCTCTAGTTTTTTTTTTCATTCAGGATTCTGCACCAATTCTCATTGGTAACGTTATAAGATGAAACTGCAAAAACACCATGTGGAAAACAATGCCAATGTCAACGTCATGAAAAAAATGCATGATTGTCTGTTTTTTTATTTCCGTTAATAATTGTTTTTTATTTTCTTTAATAGTTTTTTATTTTATTTTCGGACAGAGTCATAGCTCAAAGTGCACTAATGCAACGATAAATGAAGGTATCAATGACAACGAGTATGAAAGTAGCGAAAATAAAGATAAAAATTTTTTAAAAAGATATTCAACTTTTGATTTGATTTTACCAATTATATTAGTCGAATGTAAAAAAGCGCTAATATCTTACATAAAAATTGATTCAAAATTAGTTATTGTTCATTTATTGAGCTGACATATGATTTGAAAGAATATCATTTATAAAATGTTTATTGATTTTTAAAAATTTTTCTACTAAGTTCGAAATTTTTCAATTTTCTACAAAGTGAACTAAAATTTTCATAACTTTTTTTGTCCAAAATTTCGGTGGATCTTAGATATGTTAATATGTTAAAGTCGATAAAATTACGCTGTGAAGAATACCAAACATTTTTACCTAAATTTTGTCCAGATCTGACCCTAATTTGACTAGACTAAAAGTTACAGGGCAATCGCTTAAACAAAAAATTTCCCACTCTCATTTATACAATGAATTTTTAGTTGCAAAAATACATAAGCGTTGTTAAAAATCTTACGAGTGTAATTGGAACACCATTGTTGCCCCTTAATATAATTCAATATTGCCTACATTAAATCATTTTTTAAAAATAAGAATTTTTTATACAAATATTGGATTCGTAATTATAATTTAGTAAAATCATTATACCATAAATTATCATAATTATCATAATCATAATCTTGTAATTGTTTTTAGATAAAACAAGATAAGAGATGAGGAGAGAATTATAAATAATAATTATAAAAAATAATTTATAATTTATGCATGTTTTAAATAAACACAAAATATTTTTAATATAAAATAAATCAGGCAGCGCATGGTATGTGATCTCTTATTTCAGCCATTTGAGTTTTTACTTTTTTCAACATCCTGACGTCGTGATTCGATTTTTCGTTAACAAGAAATTTTTTTACCAGCACCTAAAAATAAACATTTTTAAAATTAGAATTAAAAAAAGAAATCGAAAGAAAATAATTTTTATTTTTATTAAATAAAAAATTACTTTATATGCTGTATCGAAATGTTTTCTCAAAACTGAGTTTTTCGTTACATTTTTGCTTGCATTTTTCAACATTTCAAAAAAGGTTTCTATTGTTTCGTTTTTCTTCAGTACTTGATGTTCCACTGACTCGCGAGCTTTTGTTAAAAATCTTTTTTCAGTTTGACTTAAATCATGATCTAAATTTTTCATGTGATCAAGATGTGCTAAAAAAAACTCTAGACTTTAAGAATATGTAAACAACACTCACACAAAAACATTAGAATACGCATTATAAAATTGTACGAAACTTAAACAGTTAAAAAGTTAAAAGTTGTATCATTATAATTGTTATAGGGATAAAAGATAATAAAGAAACAGATGGATATAGTTGGGACATAAAAATAAATACCATTTCTATGTTTTTCTATAAATTGGAGCAATTCTTCATTCATATCTGATGTACAATTCTCAAGCTTACCTAATAAAATATTTTGCAATGATATAAATTTTTTTTTCTTGACTTAAATTAATGACTAAAAAAAATTTAAAGAAACTTACATTTTTCAATGGCAAATTTTTCCAATACATTCATATTGTAATCAAACAATTTTTTAGCGTGCATTAATGATTTTCTTTTAATATTTATTCTTTTTTGCATCGTTTGAATATGGTCTGATATTTGCAAAAAGCCACTGGCTAATGTCTTTCTTTGCAAGCACTTGTCCTTCTCATCAGACAGAACTTGATATAAAGAATCAACATCTAATGAAAAAAACAACAAGTTGTAAAAGAAATTACATGACCAATTAGTCCCAATGTATTTATAAATTAATGTATTTCTGCCGCTTTCGTTTAAATTTTAATATAAAAAAAATCTACTACTTTATGTCAATATATTAATATACTAGTAATCGGGATATTACTATTTTAAAATCTGATAAAGGTAATGGCATCGTCGTATTAGATACAGAAATATACGTAAACTGGATTTATGAAATTATTAATGATAAAACAAAATTCAAACAACTTAAGAACGATATAACAGTAAATAAAGAAATTCAACTTTTTTTAAAAGAAATTCAAAATTTTTTTAAAAGAAATTCAAAATTTTTTAAGGAAACTTAAAGCAAAAGGTTTTTTCAATGATTCCACATACAAAAGAATTTATCCGTCTGAATCCCATCCTGCACGTGTCTATGGACTTTCGAAGATGCATAAACTAGCTTCTTCTGAAATTACTATAAATTTCAGACCCATTGTATCATTTATTGGAACCTATAATTACCAACTAGCCAAAGTTCTTAGAGATTTATTATTTCCATTAATAAACACCTTTGTACAAAAAATCCATTTTCCTTCGTTAAAAAAATAAGTCAAGTCAATCTCCACAAACATTTTTTAGTACCATATAATACAGCCAGCTTATAAACCAATGTTTCGCTTCAAGAAACCATTGAAATTGCAGTTAATTAAATTTTTCTACATAATAAAAACATTAAAATTACTAAAAATGATTTTAAAAAAGCATTCTAATTCGCCACTTCGCAAACACATTTTCTTTTTAAAGGGCAAATTTATAATCAAATTGATGGTGTAGCAATGGGTTCTCCACCAGCTCTGTTCTTGCCAAATATTCATGGGTTATTTTAAAAATAAATATATTAAAAATTTCAATGGAGTAAAACCAGTTTTCTATAAACGGCACGTTGATGACCTAATCAAAAAACCCAATAAGATCTTATAAGAATTTGGAACAAAAAAATTTCAGATTTTAACCCCCTTAAGTTAAAACAAATAATTTAAAAAGTGTTTTTAGTTATCAAAATTTTGTCTTTTTTTTTGTTCCGAAATCCTATAGGTCCTATAGAACTTGGCTAGGGCTTTCCAGCCTGAAAATGACACACATCTTTTTCTTAGATTTATAAATTGTAGACACAATTCTATTTCTTTTACAATGAAACAAGAAGTAAATTCAAAAATATCTTTTTTAGACGTAACTCTACACAAAATTAATCCTTCAGTTACCACTTCCACTTTTCATAAAAAAGCCTATTCTGGTCTTCACACTAATTTTTATAGTTTCACTCCATTTTTGTAGAGTCAGTCTAATCAAATGTTTGATCGATAGAACGTTTAAAATTAATAGTACTAAAATTAGGTTTTACTCCGATATAAACAACCTCTTTAAAGTATTTCAAAGAAACATGTACCCATTTTAGCTAATTTCGAAAATATTTAACTCCTACTTAAACACGATTAACACATACTTTACCACAAAAATCAAAGAACCCCTGTTTTTTTTTTTTTTTTTGTGTTTATAATTATTTTTTTGTATTTATAATTATTTTCTTTCTAGATATTTTATTCCTTTATAGTTTAAATCGCTCTGTCAATTTGTATGTGCAGGATGTAACTCCTGTTATATAGGCGAAACTACTTGCCATCTCAAGATGCTATTTGAACCTTACAAGAAGGACAAAAAGTCTTATGTCTTTAAAGGGATCCCAAATCTCCAAGACATGTTGTGTTCATATTAAATAGAATGATAAAAAAAAATGTTTGGGCTAAATTTTTTTGATTAAAACAAAAGAATAAATGCATACAAAGAAAAACAATTTTTTTTATTTTAGTCAATGTTTGCCTTCTCCAATTTGTTGAAGGCCAAAATGTCAGCTTAATGTACGTTGCAATTTAGAAACTTGATAATTTATTCAAGTAAGTTTTATTCCCGAGAGTTTTAGTACAAAACATCATCAATTTTTTGTTTGTTTACATAAGTGATCTTTTACACAAACAAAAAAATCAATGACGTCATATACTAAAACTCTTAGGAATAAAACGCGCTTAAATAAATTATCAAATCTGTAGATTGCGGGATATATTATGCTAAATTTTTTGCCTTTAACAAAAAGGGATTAGGCAAACATTGACTAAAATAAAAAAAATAGTTTTTCTTCGTATGCATTTAATCTTTGTTTTAGTAAAAAAAAATTAGCCCAAATAATTTTTTTTTATCATTCACTTTAATATGAACACAACATTCTATTTAATATGAACACAACATTTAACCAAAAAAGTTTAGCCCAAATAATTTTTTTTATCATTCTCTTTAATATGAACACAACATGTCTCAGAGGTTTGGGATCCCTTTAAGCATCTCCATGCTAATAAAAATTATTTCATGCAATTAAATGACAAGTGTTTTCTTTTTGAGATTCAACACCTAATAAATTTGAGTTAAAATTTAAACTATGTTCATAGAATAGTTAAAACCTGATTTGAATAAACAGGTAAACCATGTTCAAAAGAAACTTTCTGTTTTGCTACTTCTTTCTATACATATTGTGTTTCTTTAAACCTATTCTTTTGTTATTTCCTATTTCTTTATTTAGACAAGTTAAATTTTTTAACTTTTAATTGATTTTATTGTACTTTTGTAATTATATTATTATTGTACACAAATAATTACATTTTGCATTGTTTATTTTTTTAACACCTTTATAGGTGTTAAAAAAATTTTATTAATTTAAAAAACAATATGTATTGTTTTTTATTAATAAAATAATAAAATGTTTTTATTTCTCTCTCTCTCTCTCTCTCTCTCTCTCTCTCTCTCTCTCTATATATATATATATATATATATATATATATATATATATATATATATATATAATATATATATATATATATATATATATATATATATATATATATATATATATATATATATATATATATATTTATACATATAAGTAAAAAAAGTTAGTCAACAAAATAAACAATAAATAAAATATTTTCTTTTAATTTTACAAAAATTATAAATTATAATTATAAATTTTAATATTTTAGCACTAGAGTCCTTTCAAAAAATTATCAGTAGTGCTGTTTTTGTTATCATAACAACATTTGAACTAAAAACGGATTTAAGAATTGAATTCAACATGATTAATTTAAAATATAAACATCAAACTTTTAATTTCTGCCAAAATAAAATATTTCAGACCACTGTTCAGCACTGTGCTGGAGTTTTATAAAAAAGGTTTTATAGAGTATTTTTTATAAAAGTTTTATAAAAATATTAAACATAAAAAAATCATAATCACCACCTTTGAAGTAACTTTCCATCAGTTGAATCTTACTTCTTACAAAATTCGTCAGACTTGTTGCTCTTTAGGAGACTAATTTAAATTCAGCTTCTTTAGATTTCAGTATTGTGGGCTACTAATTTTTTTTATTCAGTGTGATGATAGAGTCTTTCTTAAAAACTGAACCATCATAATGAATGGCTCTAGTACTACCTGCTGACACCCATAACTACCTGCTGACACCAATAACTACCTGCTGACATCTATAACTACCTGCTGACACCCATAACTACAGTATTTCTCAATCTCTTACTCAAATAGTTAACTTTGTGATTCTTTTTCTCTCTCCTTGAATTCCAGTAATTTGTTAGATGTAAAGTCTTTCCTAATGCATTTCCAAAAACTTGTTTTACTTTCACTTCTTGTTTTGTGTTTTGTCTCTAACCCTAGCTTGTGTTTAGTTTCTCCTTTAAATGGTCCCAACCAATGATCTTTATAAATTATTGCACTACTTACTACTACCCTGAAGTTGATAATTATTAAAGAAAGTGGGGGTATAACCACATATGTTTTTAAACATTTCTTTATGGAAAAATCTAATATGCCAACACGTACAAATAAATTGGTAAAACAGTTTCTGTCATTTTGCTAATGCCAAACATTGTTCTGAGACAAACATTGTTCTGAGTTTATTTTGGTAAGAATATTTACTTTTCAAGATTTTTTGTGGATTAATCAATATTTGTTGTTAGTATTACACTTCTGCATGTGTTCATCAAGAGAAAACATATTGTGATATCAACATACCTGAAAAGCAAGGAGTTAAACTGTATTCTTTCTAAAAACTGTCCTCTAGGGAAAAAACCACATAGACACATTGCATTTATGTGGTTATGCTTCTTGATGTTTTCTTGATGTGGAGCTTAATAATTATCAATTATGACAATAGTTAAAATCATCACACATAAGTGGATTCATGTAAAAACACAAAAAGAAATAGTTTTGTTTAGAGAAGTTAGATGTTATATTTTGTATTATGTTTTTAGATTTTATTATTTTTAATAAGTTTTTGATTAAAATATAAATGTGAAACAATTATTATATTTATGTAAAAAGCACATAACTCTTGAAATTAATAACTTGATATTTTATAAATTGTTGATTTTAATCTTATGTATCTTACTTAATACATTTATCTATTACTTTATTAGTTGTTTTTGTAATCAAGTTTAAAAATACAAATAGTTTGAAAATACAAATGTCACGCAAATGGGAAGAAGGTATTGTTAACATTTTGTGTTTCAACACTGTCAGATAAATAGGGAAAGAAGTTGCTCAATAAAAAAACAAAATTTGCAACACACGAAAAAAAAAAAAAAAAAAAAAAATGTACCAAATATAAAGTAGTTGTGTCATCACGGCCATCCCTAATTTAAAAAGAAATGGTTACATGTGTTACAAGATTACATTGATTTGTTACATGTGCTACAAGGAAGATTTTAAAGACTCTGACAGTATTGATATCGACACCATATATAATACATCAACAGGTATCCCTAGCAATTAGGGAACAACTTTTTTTCTTCCTTTGTATTACTTTTGTTTAATAATATTTTCAAATAAAATTTTATGATTTTTATTTAAAAATATCAATTCAAAGAAATTGTTAATCTTCTTATTTTCTAAATTTATATATTGTTTGGTTAAACTAGTTTATAATATCAGTTATAATTTTATCAGTTATAATTTTAATCGTTTATAATTCTATCAGTTATAATTTTAATCGTTTATAATTTTATCAGTTATAATTTTAATCGTTTATAATTCTATCAGTTATAATTTTATTCGTTTATCAGTTATTAGTTATACTTATATTGCTTTAAAATAATATTAACTTGAATTAAACACTATTTTTATCATTTTCACTTTTTTTTATCACTATTATCACATTATTTAACATATAACTATTAGCTATACTTAAGATAAAACTTAATAATAATATTATAAATTATTTAATATTATTATAAAGTATTACTTGTATTACCACAAATATAAAATTCAATTTTGAAAAATTGGAACTCTTTAACCATAAATGTATTTTCAAAAACTGTAGTGATATGTAGTGATATTATAGATCTAACAAGAAAAACTGATAAAAACAAAAAATATTACAATTTGTTACTTTAACAAGAAAAAGTTTAAGAGGTTTTTACATCAATAAATTTGTGAATTTTATCAGTTTAAAAGTTGTATTAAAGTGAATGTGAAGCAACAAAAGAAGATTTCTGTAATGGAAGATTTTTCATAATGGAAAATTCGAAGAAATTTTTAAATAATATATATACCAATCATTAATTAAAAAATATATATTAGCTCAATCTGAAACCTAAAACTTCTTCAGCTAAAATACTTTTATAGGTATAATATATTAGAATTCTTAATTGTACTTATTTTAAAAGCAAATGTTTTAAATAAATAAAAGACTTGATTCATTTGAAAAAAAAAGAAATTAATTAAAAAAAAAAAAAATTAATTAATTAAGAATTACAAATTATTCTGTGTTCTAGTTGTATTGTTCTAGTTGTAATGTTCTAGTTGTATTGTTCTAGTTGTAATGTTCAAGTTGTAATGTTCTAGTTGTATAGTTCTAGTTGTAGTGTTCTAGTTGTAGTGTTCTAGTTGTATTGTTCTAGTTGTATTGTTCTAGTTATACTGTTCTAATTGTAATGTTCTAGTTGTAATGTTCTAGTAGTAATGTTCTAACTGTACTGTTCTAGTTTAAAAAACAACAACACATAAAACACACAAAGCAATAATTAACAAGAATATTTAAAATAGTCCCAAACTTAAAACTAAAATATATAAATATAAAAAGCTGATAAAGGTTTTTCATATTTATATAAAAAGTAATTTATTTATATTAAACATATATTTTTTAAATATATTTAACTGTAAAGAAATATTCTCCGAAAATTTTTTTAAATATTGGGTTGGCTAAAAGGAAATAAGCGCTTTTATGCACCAAAATAATATATGCACTATTAATGATCATTCGTAGGAATTGTTATACTGGTTATCAGTTACCGGTAAATACCTAAGATCGGTTTAAGTTTTTTACTTTAAATAAAATTTTGTAATTTACCAGTAAATAAAGCTTTTTGCAATATAAGGATTGTTTTAATTCCTAATTGCTGAATATTTTTATCTAATAAAGAACGTACTATAAATATTAAATAAATTATTTATTTGCTTGTCAATAAATTAAAAATATAAAAGTGTAAAGCATTCTTTTGTTTGAACTTAACGTGTGAGTAAACTTAACGACTCTAATTAAACAACATTTAAAATAGATGTTGGCTTGTTTTACAAATTTTTTACCGTTAAAGAAAACTATTTTTTTTTATTTCATTTTAAAAATTGTTTTAAAGACCTTTTAATGGATAAAAGTTCAATTTGGAATAACTATTATTGCACAGAAAAGAGAGATATAGCCATATGTAAACAATGCGCAAAAAGAATTAAAACAGCAGGTGAAAGCACTAGTGGTTTACACGCCCATCAAGAGTCAACCTAAAATTAATGTGTTAAAAAAAAATATAGAAGAACGCGCAAAAGAACCGGCAGTTACAATAGCATTGAAAATTACTTCTTTTATCAAAAAAAGAGACAAACCTATTAAAGCTGTACTTTCAAGAAATAATTGCACAAGATGGCATTCCTTTCAATAAATTTTGTACATCTGAAGATTTAAAGATGTTACTAAAAACAAAAGGTTAAAAGATGTTAATGAACATGATGGTAAAGTATCAATTACTTAATGTTGATTCTGATTCTGATTATTCAGAAAATGAACTAAAAAATTTTGAAGTAGACCACAAAGATATTGACACTATCAAATTTGTTCTACAAAACGCAGAGCTAAATTCTTTAATTACAAAAATTTGGAAAGTTGTAAAACTTTTCAGAAAATCACCAACCAACAATGATAAACTACTGCAAAAATACGTTGAAGAAACTGTCGGAAAAGAACTTTATTTAATTTTAGACTGTAAAACTAGATGGTTCCATTTAGATCTTTCCAGCATGCTTAATAAACTACTTTATTAAGCATGCTGGAAAGATTTTTAAAACTTAAAGATGCTGTTAAAAAAATTCTGATGGATTTAAAAATTGACATAGATTTTAATGAAGTGAAGTAAAATCAAATAGTTTTTGACTACTGATGACCATTGGTCCAACTAATTTGTACTTAAATTAGATCTTGATTAGAAAACAAGATATTAGATAGTTTAAGCTTTCTACAAAGCTACTTTTTGAAAAATGATATTTAATAAAAATGGTATTATAAAATTTGTACTTTTTTATTGTTATATAAAGTTTATCCGGTAACTTACTGATTTACCAGTATTACAATTTTATTTACCGAGTTACTCGTAAATCAAAAAGTCGGTAAATTTACAAACCCTAATCACTTGCCAACACTATGAACTAACTTGCCAACACCAGGGTTGGGGTCAAATGCGTATTTGTACTTGTATTTGAATTTATACCGGTAAAAATTGGCTAATTTGACGTATTTGTGTTTGTAGTGTATTTGATTTAATTTCTTAAACATTTTATTTGTATTTGATTGAAATATGTTTTCAATTCAATAAAACAGGTTTTTAATAAATTAGGTTAACTGGTGTATTTTTTTGAAAAACTTTTTTATTTTTTTTTTCATTTTTAAAACTGAAATTAATTAAAAAAAATTTTTTAATGAATATTTGGTTTGAATTGTCTCCATTCTTCTGTTTAGAATACCATTTTATTATTCTTATGTTGAAAAAACGTTTATATATTTCTTAACCTAAAGTACAAATATTTGTATATGATGATGGAGAAACAATTTTTTGAAGAAAAAAATTAGATAAGTGTTTTTACTAATTTATCATTGCTCTGTTCTTTAACAACATAACTTGGCAACACTTATGATCAACTTGCCAACACTAAGGACTAACTTATCCACACTAAGGACTAACTTACCAACACTAAATAAAAAAATAAATGATGTTGGTGTAAAACTATTTAGGCTTTGAATTAAAAACAAGATTAAGGTACTGCTAGTTCATATTAATTAATTTTTCATTGTGCAGAATATTGCTTAGTGATCAAAACAAATAATAACGCTAAATTGTTAAACCTGAAACCTGATATCAAATCCTGGAAACTTCTCCTATATGAGATAGTGGACTAGTAGTAGAACAATTTACAATCAAAAATTTTGAGAATCCACCCTCGAATCCACCCCTCTGGCCTCTGAAAATATGTCACTCAATCTTTTTCTCAGTGATCATATTTATTTTTGTGTTTCAACATTTAATTTTGTGAATGAACATTTAGGGCTAAAAAGAGAGTTGCAAATAAAAAGTGCTCATTATATTAAATTTGCCAACCCAATATTTTTATAGACTTATTAATAAAAATTTAACAAACCAAGAGGTATTTCTGCTCTTTCTTCATTGTTCATTGTGGAAACAGGGTATGTAAATTCAAACATATTTCTATCCAAAAAGGTAGGGGTATCACTATACATTTGATGACGAATCTCAGCCATTGTCCATTTTTTAGTTATATCATGCTAAACGAAAATCAATAATATAGAGAAAGATATAGAATGACTCAATTATATAAAAATAAACAGAAAATATTAAATATAAAAAAAAAAAAAAAATGACAAAAAGCATAAATTTTTAAAATAAGAAACTTGAAAACATTGAACTGCAAAAATTCTGAGAACTCAATTACATTTATGCATGAGAAAAGACAAGTTAACTGATAAAATTCTAACAGTTAACTGCTAAAAAGACCAGTTAACTGCTAAAATTCTGAGAACTCAATTATAATTATGCATGAGAAAAGACCAGTTATTAAACAATATGTAGTTTCCTTTCAAATGGAATAATAAATCTTTGGAATTTATTACCAGAAGATATAGTCAATTTAATAACTATAATTTAAATCAATATATTTATATAGATCAAGTTTATATATCAATAAACTTGATATATAAAAAATTACATAAAAAATGTCATAATAAATAAATGATAACCATACAAAGTTATAATAAATAAATAACTATCATATAAATATATCTGTCCAACAAGTGTGTCAACAAAAACTCACTGGATTTCCTCAGTTCTTCATTCACTTTATTTCTTAACAAATATTTAATATTTTTATTTTTCAACAAATATTTATGGTTAAAAGTTGATTAAAGAATTTAAATGAGTCCATAAAAATTTAAAAGCTAAGTAAACAAAAATAAATAAACCTTGTAAATTAAAGATTTTTATAAAAATAACACACCTATTCAATTAAAAAAAAAAAATAGGTAATCCACTTCTGTTTTCTTATTTTCCCTTATATTATAAATATCTTACTACAAAAAATTCAAACCCATGTGTCACTATAAAAATAAACAAGTCAAGCAGTATTTATTTCTAAAAAAATTAAATGGTTTTTTTTTAGTGATAGAGTCTATAGAATGGTTTATTTTAGTGATAGAGTCTATAAAATTTTGATATCTTTGTTTTTAAAACTCTAATGCTAATTCTTTATCTTATATATATACTTTATCTTTTAAGTTATTTAATGCTATGTTTGTAATTTTGCAATGCAAAAAGCATTTTACAAATACAATAAGTACTATTAATAGTTAAATTATCAGAATGGTCACACACACTCTATGTTTTTGTGCATCTTTGAAGTTTAAAAAATCTTTAAAGCTTAGTGCCAATATATCCTCTACTTTTTAACTGTATGTACAATTTATCATAAGTATTCTCTACTTTTTAATTAACTGTACACAGTATATATATCTAAATAGCCAAATTTTTTTGTTTTAGTTTTAGTTTTTTTTTTTCCTTTATTTTTACTTAAGTTTTCAATTTCAAGTAAATAATTTTTATTAACTTAATTTAAATTAAAAAAAAAAAAAAAAGCATTTTATGAACATACTTTTTAAATACTTTAAAAACTTCTGAAAACTTATTTATAAAACACAGTGTACGCATTGAACATAAAATATAAAATAAAATTTATCTAATTAAGGAAAGGACTGTCAAAACTCAAAACCAACAAACATTTTTAAAAGCAATTATGACAAATTTTCAAAAATTAATTTCTCATCGGATATTGGATAGTTTTTATCTGATTTATGAGTTTTTATGATGCCATACAGTTGTAGAGAAATGCAATCAGAAGAATATAATTTTAAAAATTTTATTGAGTGTTTTGATTTGCATACCCGAAAATAAATAATATGATGTAATAGCACGATGATAAAAAATTATAATTTTCTATTAACATTAATAAATATTAAAGTATTAATTAAATATGAAAAATATTTAAAATTATATATAAACATATTACATACAACACTTTTCACACAACCATTTTAAGAATATAATCTCACTTAAAAAAATCCTAATTTTAAGTTAGATAATCACAAAATGTTTAGAAGTTGAAAATGATAAGATAACAACAAAATTATAAAAGATTGTTAATGAGTTAGCAAATCTTGTATACAGATGTCTTTGTCGTTTGTAATGATGTTAACTTATGGCTATTTTAGTGAGATTTTAGTTTTAGCAAAGTTGTGGCAATTATTTGCCAGAATAAGATGATGGATGTCATCTGTACTCTACTTAAGATTGTACTAGTGGATGTAGATGAGCTAATCTTTTTTGCTTCTAAATTTGTACTAGTGGATGTAGATGGGCTAACCTTTTTTGCTTCTAAATTTGTACAAGTGGATGTAGATGAGCTAACCTTTTTTGCTTCTAAATTTGTACTAGTGGATGTAGATGGGCTAACCTTTTTTGCTTCTAAATTTGTACGAGTGGATGTAGATGAGCTAACCTTTTTTGCTTCTAAATTTGTACTAGTGGATATAGATGAGCTAACCTTTTTTGCTTCTAAATTTGTACAATGGAAGAATGGAAATGTTCCAATACTAAAATTGAAGGTGTTGAATTGGATGATAATAAAGACAATGATGCACGTGTCATACCTGATGACTAACCATTAAAATTCATTAGTAATGACTCAATATTTATAAACAAATCAAATGGATAGCATTGCACTGCTAGATACTTTTTAACATTTATCAATATTGTTCCATATATTTCTTATTATGTAAACTATTTAAATATCAAAAAAAAATTTAATTATAAATAATTTTTCTTCAAAGCTACCACTAATCTATTAAAATGTTATTTAGTATATATTACTTACATTAATATAAAAAAACTTTTAAATTAAAAAAACCCAAAATTTTCAAATTATCCTTAAAATAATTTGTTATTATTTTGGGATGACATAATGATTATCATTCTTACATTTATATGGGTTATAATTTATATAAACCAGTTTATATCTGAGCTGGGATAGCTCAGCTGGTTAAAGCACTGTTTTAAGTTTGGAATAAATATTGGCCGTAGCAGCAGGATTGTAGGTTCGAATCCGGACTCTGTCTACTCAGCGTATGAGTAGTACTTCGGTACAAAGGGAACTTGTCTTGATTAGCTTTGCTATTACAAGGTTTCTTCTAGACTAGTAAATAAATAATCTAGTCGAGTAAATTAAAAATTATTGTTTATATTATAGTTTGTGTTATTCATTAAAATATTCAAAAAAATTCTGACTTGAATAATGCTATAAAATAGAAATGCATAAAGAATACTATTTGGAAAATATATAAATCAATTTTCAAAAAACCTTTTTGTTATTGTCATCATCATCTTTTTTCATTGCTGAATTAAAATCCCCATTTTTGGAATTAACTTCAGAGTCAGTTTCTTTATAACTGTTGTCCACCTAATAATAATAAAAAAATATAATAAATATGTCAGTAATAATAACTATAAATATCAATTATAAAAATATAAATTTAAACAGAGCAATATGAAAAACCTGATTAAGACTTTGTTCCACATTTTCCATCTGACCCATTGAATTTTTAATTCGATCATTAACATCAGAAGCACCAGGATATAAAAAATTAGTAACAACTCTACCAATTGTTTTGGTAAAACTTAAATCAAGACATGCTTGCACGTTTACAGTTTTATCCTTCCCTAGTAGTGTAAGTTTTAAATTTAAACCAAAACATCTCATTGCTGCTTTTTCAAGACTTGTTTCGAAACAAGCATAATGAATTTGAATAATATTTTTTGTAATAAACTCTCCAATTTGTTTTGCTGCTTCCAAACCAGCACTTATACCCTTTATAGCTGTATTATAAACGCTTTCTAATTGATTAAATAATAACTTAGCTTTATTAAGTAAAGTTCTTGCTGCCAAGAGAAGTTTTTCGAAAGTTGTATATAATCTGTCACGAAACTATAAATGTAAAAAAATAATAATTTAGTAATGAAAATTTAAAACAATTTTTTAATTAAGATATAAATTAGATTTAGATCATTTGAGATGAACATTTAAGATGATCAACAAACGATAATTGAGACCATAAAATCTGATCAGATCATGATGAAAGTCTGATCAGATCATAATGAAATCTGATCATATCATAATGAAATCTGATCAGATCATGATGAAATCTGATCAGATCATGATGAATTATGTACAGATATATAAATACTTAGATAGCCAAAAGAATCATTGAAAGACAAATAGTCATTGAAATAAAAACTAATTTTTAAGATGACATGAACTAATCAATGAAAAGAATAACATGAACTAATCAATAAACATGAACTAATCAATAAACATGAATTATTTAATGAGAAAAAACTGTATTATTGAGATGCATTAAAATCAATATTTAAACTTTCACCTGCAAACTGTAGAACTTTTATAACAGTAATATTTTAGTAACAGTAAATCAGAAAGTATATATATATATATACTTTATGTATGTATGTATGTATGTATGTATGTATGTATGTATGTATGTATGTATGTATGTATGTATGTATGTATGTATGTATGTATGTATGTATGTATGTATATATGTATGTATGTATGTATGTATGTATGTATGTATGTATGTATGTATGTATATGGGCAATTCTATAGCTGAAAATGAAAAAGTAACTCATTGAAAAGTTGTAAAAAGAGATAATAAAAATAAAATTTTATTCTCTCTTTTGTCAACTTTTAAATGAATATTGATGCAGACGCATGAAAGTTTATCTAAAAAATACCTTAGGAACTGAAAATAATTTATTTAAGTCAGCTTTTGTTGCTTACAAAATGAACATTTCATTGCAACTCTTAAGATTTTCATTAAAATAATTTGATTATTTTATTTTTATTATTACTTTTTTTGGGCATATTTTTTATATATTTTATATATATTTTTTCAGAGCACAATTGCAGCACATTTGTGCCCTGCAAATATCACAAATTATCCAGCAAGCAAAATAAGTGAAAGATATTGCTAACTACTACTTTTATGTCAGTAATGGCCAGATCAAAACAGAAAAAATTCACTGTAATGCATTTGAAACAAATAAAAAGATAAAATAACTTTTATTTTAAACTATGTTCTTATTTGGTTAATATTTTTGTTTTAGTAAAATAATAAATGATAATAAATAATAAACTTATTGACAATAAGTTGTCATACTAAAATACAGTAAACTCCCAATTGTTCACACTGGCTTTTATTCAAAATTCCAGCTTATTTGAAGCAATTTTCATTCCCCATGAATTTTCCCTAAAAAACTCACTCAAATATCCAACAGTTATTTGAACCAGCAGTTATTCGAAATTTCTATTATTCAAAGTAATTTTTTGCTCCCCTTAAAAAACCGCCAGTTATTTAAAGTATTTCTTTGACGCAAGACACCATTAGACCGCATTTTAAAATATAACTTTATCGAATGTAATCAAAATATTTGTATGTATATATGAGGAGCCCATCTGCAAGTCAAAAGTCACAAAAATAAAAATTTTTGAGTTAACTTCGTTTCCACATTCTATATTATAAAATCTATCATCAATTTAAATATTAGAACAATTAAAAAATTCGAAAATTTGGTTATACTTTAGTAACAAGATTGTTGAGGTGCCTAAAATAAAAATTTGATTGTAACTTGAAATAAGTCACTTTTAAAAAGATTTTCAGTTATTCGAAATTTCAGTTATTCAAAGTAAATTCTTATTCACCAAAAAGGTTCAAATATCCGGGAGTGTGCTGTAATTTTTTTAAAAATGCTCTAGCTCTTGTGGAAAAAAATGTTATCGATTTGAGAATTAATTTGATAACTTCTATAAATGTTATTTATAGAAGTTTGAGAATTTGAGATTTGTCAATTTTAGAATAGGCAATACTTTCTTCTGTTGCACAATTTCTCAAGATATTCAGATTGCCAATTATTCACATACACTTTTTTAAAAAAACACTCCAAAAATCTTTAATCAGATAACATTTAGGCAACTATTTTTATCTGTTAATTCACCTCTCCAAGGCCATGAAGGCTACTATAGTCAAGTAGGATACTTAATTATGGTTACAACCCTCTCTCAGACATTTACCTCCGAAACACAAACCTTGACAAAAAAGGCTCCTGCACAGAGAAACAAGTTGAGCGCTGTACTACCAGGGATGTGGTGGAGATTGAACTCGAAACTTCTTGCTTATGAGGCAAGAGCTCTACCACTACACCACTACCGCATTATATATGAGAAGATATTATACATGAGACATTTGACAATGAGATATTTGCAGCATTATATTCTTATTTAATACATAATAATAACAATAATAATAAAAATAGTAACAACAACTTTTTCTTCAAATTCATGTATGAATTTGAAGAAAAAGTTAAACATACATACATGTATGTATGTATGTATGTATGTATGTATGTATGTATGTATGTATGTATGTATGTATGTATGTATGTATGTGTGTATGAATGTGTATATGCATGTGTGTTTGTATGTAAATATTATCCATGTTCTATTTTATTACCATAGTGAAGTCATTTAAATCATTTAATCAACATTAATTTTTTATTTAAAAAGACTCAAAGCATTAAAAATACTCACTACTGTAAAATTGCCCAAGTTTGGTCAAGAGCTTTGAACATTCATATCTCAGGCATAATTTTTTTCATTTCTTTTTTTTTGAGTTACACAGCTAATTTTATCTTTAATTGAAAAATAAAATAATAAAAATAAAAACTAGCATTAGTTTTTTTATTTCAAATGAGAACAGCTACTAGACCAAACTTTCAATACCATCTCATAAGTTCAGTCGCTATATAAATCCAAATAACTTATTGCAAACTTAATGTCACAAATAATAAAAACTAATTTTTAAATGTTGTTTTATTGTAAAATGATGATATAATATCAGGTATTAGCAACCAAGTTGCTAATGATGTCGCATAGGGCTAAAACAACTTTTGGGGCACCTAGGAAAACAACAAGAAGTACATAAAAAACTACTTAAGTATAAATAGTTTTTTTATTTTTATCATTATTTTTTTGTCAATTATTTTATTACTTTGTCTTTTGGTTTTCACTGTTTTTGCTTTGCTCTTTTGATTCTTTTGATATTGGTTGATAAAATTGAAAAAAAATTTTTCAATTAATTTAAAAATGTTTCTTTAATAAAATAAAAAACCACTATTTTGCCTCAGTGACGGATCCAGGGGGAGGTTCCTAAAATGTCTTAGAAATTGAGGACTTTTTTTTTTATTATGGAGATTTGAATTTAATACAAAAATACTTCAACATTCCTCCCCCCCACCCCCCACCCCATCATCACCAAAATTCCTGGATCTGCCACTGAATAAGCTTTCTATGTTAATCGGTCATTCTTGCACATACTATTGACCAGAGTAGAACAGCAAGTTAAACACAACCAATCGTCACAGGATTTGCAACGCATCCATAATTGTTGTCATAATTGTTGGTTTAGTTGTTTTATATAAATTTTTACTATTTAAATCTCATTATTTAAATTCACAAGATTGACATTTTTTAATTCAAAGAACCATCAGATTGACACTCTTGATATATGGAAGTTGCTTTGGATTCTGATAAAGTTTGAACTTTGATTATCTCAACTAGTTGTCATTTCCATTGTTTAATAGTAGGTTTGTTGAACAAATCAGCTTCCTTTGCCAACATTTTTGAGTCCTAATTAAATAAGCCTACTGTTTTGTTTTTTCACACAAAACCTTTCTAGCTTGTATTTCTCTTATTTAACTTATTTTTATTATTTGCTTGTTTGTAAGTTCTGTCAAAGCTTCTTCACTTTTCATTAGACGCATGTTATTATTAAGAACATTTAGCTTTGAGTCTGAAATGGAAGCTTTGGGCATGCCAAATTTAAAATTGATGTCTTTAAATGTTCACAAGCAGTTGTGCAACATGTTAAAGGTCCTTTTTTTCATGAGTTTAAAGAAGTTTGTGAACTTAAAATACTATGCTTTTGTATACTTGAAGGAAGTTCTGGAATTGTGGAAATTGGTATAAACAGTGTTAGTAAGGCTCGAGTACTTTGCACAAAACCTAATCTAATAGCTAATTTTTCATTAGCTATTTTTTCCTGACACAACAGAAAAAAAACCTGTTGCTTTGAAGCCAGAACACACATTGTCGCTGAAGAAGCTTTGGCCAATAAGCTGTTTGAGCAACCCAAGGTAACTAGGTTTTTTAAATGTTAGTTTAAGATTCCGCGCCATTTACTTTTTACTGTCATGAATACGCCTAAATCAGGTGGCTGTAGCACGTGAGATGTATGAGCCGCTAGCTAAAAATAATAATACTCTCCTATTTTGTGAATTAGTTTCAGCGTTACATTTGAGGCAAAGCTGTCTAGAAAAAAGACTTTCAAACCTTCAAGCATACGGCAATGTAGAATAAATGTCTATTTAAACCATCCAACAAAAGCAGGTCCTTCCGTTTGGCCCCTCCTGAATTAGAAGACAAATGGACATCAATCTAAAAATTCAAATAAGTAGTTTGTAAAATACGGAGTTTTATGGATTCTCTGCACATCTGTTTTAAATGCTTTTTAAAATAAATACCCAAATTCATCATAGATATTATTAACTTCAGCCTTGGAATAAAATGTCCCAAAAACATCACAGAAAACTAGTATTGTGACTGAGGCCTTTTCCTTGCTACTGCAAAGTTTCTTAGATCTTTTTGAACCTTTTCGGCACACTACCTTAAATTTGGCTTGATCACATTGAAGGCTAGATATATCACAATTCGGAACATAAATAAAATATGGAATGGCTTAATTGAGAATCCATGTATATTGTATATCAATGTACAGGCCTTGTTTTAAAGCGTTACGCCTAGAGCGATTTACGTACGCCTTAAGCGCTTTTTACGTACGCGTAGAGCTGTTTTGGTTAAGCTACTTTTTATCATTTTTTAACTTTTAAATTAGCGGTAACATAAAAGAAGTAATTAATTTTCAAAAAAACCACATTAACTTTTAAATAACGACATGTAAAGATATTTATTAAAAAAAAGAATTTACTTTAAAAATAATTGTTGTAACTTTTCATCGCGACTTATCATAACTTTTTATTCAAATATTTAGCAACATGAAAAATTTTTTGTCAATCCTTAACTACAAATTTTTTGCAATGTTTTTAATAAAAAGTAGTAATTTTTTAAAGTTTTTAGTAAAAAACTTTTAAAAAATCTATATTCCATATTTATTAATACAGAATATAAAAGTTTTTTGTAATAAAGATTTTTTATGAATTTTTTACCGAATTTATAATAAAAAACATTTGCAAAAAAATTTGTAATTAAGAATTGACATTTTTTAAATAAAATCTCAAAAAATGTCTTAATATTTTTATTATCATGATAACAAAAATATCAAGATATTTTTTCGAGATGTTTAAAAAAATGTCTTTGCTTTTCTTATTAGTTAAAGGTATATAGTTTAAGTTATGCGGGGGGAGGGGGTCAGCACAGAAAAAAAAAATTACCTGTTACTCGCAATATTTGAATGAAGACAATTTGTTAAAATTCTTCTGCGTGCCATTCAATAATTTTTTTTTTTCATAAATCAACTTATATTATAAGGTAAAGAAATCATGAGTAGACTACAACATCCGCTGATGACACTAATATTACGTTGAATATATTTATATAACGGAGGTTTTATTATGCACACGCACATTACAGGTTCCATTAAATAAATACTAAGGCACGTTTTAGTTTAATGACAGTCTCCATTTTTTACTAATGAATATGTATTTTTCTTTATAAAACAAAACAAACTAGTATATAAAAACCTTGTATATTTCTATTATCTCTAAATTGTTTAAAGTTCGAATATGGATTGTATTTTGAAGGACAAAAGATTTACTTTAAAAACTTTTAAATCTTGGGACTTTGCCGATGCTTTGCCAATGCGATGATCACAGAAAAAGAGAAGACTTACGTTATTAAAATCAAATGTAAGTTATGTGATCTTAATCAAAATAAAATAATATCCAAAAACAATAGTGCAGTAAGAGCAACGGTTTATAAATAATACAAGTCATGTTAAAATATTTTAACATGTTACTATATTTTAATTAAGTTGATATATAATTAAAAATAAAAATATAGTTCAATAAATAAATTAAATTTATTCTTAACAAAGATTACCTCATATTTATTCTTTTTTTTTTATTTTATTAAGTTAAATTGCTTACAAACGAAAAAAAAAAAAAGAGTTTTGTAATTATACGTAGAATGGAAATATTTTTGAGTTTGTTTATAAGTTAAGGAACTTAATTTTTAATAAACAAAATTTTTTACGAAAGTTTATTATAAACAGATACGATTCAAATTATTAAATATACTTAAATTATTTCAGTTGAGTATTTTTTTAAGTTTGCACGATTAAAGTTTGGCGTAATAGTATTTGTTTTTTTGTTTTAAGAATAATTAACAAAAGAGTTAGCATAATTAAGTCTTTTATATTTAATTTAATTTTTTTTTTTATTTCCTAAAATTAAAAAAAAAAAGATTTAATCGTTGAAAACGATTTTTCTCTATAGCTCTGTTTCTTTGTGATTTGTTTAAAAAGTTAAATATTTTTACAATAACATAAAAAATTTATGAATTAAATTCCTAGCGAACGCGTTCTAAACTACGTATCAAAAATATGCTCAAAGCAGACAAAACTTTTTTATATTTTTATAAAACGCAAGTTGAAACGCTTTTAAAAATTTAAAAAATATTTAAAAACTTAAATTTTTCTTTGCTAGTCAAAACAAAATTGTTGTTTAAATAATTAACATGCGTTTGTGTTTATCAATGTTAATATTTTTTGTTTACTCAAGAAATTTTTATAAATAAAAAAAATCATTATTTTTTATTCAATAACGATTAAAAACAATTATTCAAAAACAAATTTCAGAAATAATTAATATATATATATATATATATATATATATATATATATATATATATATATATATATATATATATATATATATATATATTTTACTAAATAATATTGAACTAAAATTAATAATATAATAACAATTGAAAACATTACAAAATTCATAATAAATTTATATTTAAAACGTTTATAGTTTATATTTGAGTTAATTGTTAAATTGAACTAGTTTGCGGTTATTTATTTATTGCGGTAGTTAAAACACCTAACGTCTATAAAAAAAAATAAAGATAATTTTATGACGTCAAAATTGCGTTAAGCTAATGCATTAAGCACTTTTTTATTTAAAACAAGGCCTGAATGTATATCATAAACTTGTACAAACCTTGATTAGTAGTAGTTAAAGTAGGTCATTAAAATGTTATAATTTAGTATAAGCAGTTTATAAAAAAGGGACAATTTGTAAAGATTGGAAACAAATTGAATTTTACATTTTAAAAACTTTTAGAGCCATTTTTAATTAAAAAATAATTTAATGTAAAATATATTTATATATAAACATATGATTTTAATAAATACCATTGATAAATAGTGCCTGGCTAAGTCAATATTGCACGGTTTGATGGCATATTAGTTGAAGTTCTTAGCCATAGCTTATCACAAAGACGTCTTATAATTGAGTAATACCAGGCAAGTGTAACTTTGCTGCCATCAAAACACATTTGATGTGAACCAAGTAGTTATTAACAACACACAAAATTTCAAGTCTAGTCAAACTTAAATCAATATCACTCATAAATATTAAAATTTTTACTAAAATGTTCTTGATGTTGTCGCTCAACTTAGTTGGTTTGCCATTTTTTTAGTATTCTTGCCATTACTTCTGTCAATGATCTTTTTCTCTCACTCATACTTGGTCCACAACCTTCAAACCACAAGCCATTACACAAGCCATTTGTGCTTTAAGGTAAATCCATAGATGGTATAGAAATATTAATTTGCAAAAGAACTATTTCAGTGCATTGCAATATAAATTATTATTTTGTAATTAGTTCATACCAGTTTATAAATTTAACAGAAAATTGACCGGTAAATTTCATTTTAAAACAGGTTAATTTTGAAATTATAAACAAATTTTTTATTCAAATAAAATACAATAGTGAGTATCCATTATAAAAATATCAAAATTTACTGGTAAATTTACAGGTAAAGTTACCATTAAACTTTAAACTCGCAACACTAGTTCATTTTACAGTCACATTTTTCACATATCAGCATTTCACAACATTCCTGGTGATTATCTTTTTCGTTGTTTATCTATGAATGACCCAAGTTAAAGTGTTTCAAAATTGCGCTAATTTTCAAAAAAAAAAAGTAGATAATCACAAATTATTAATTTTTTTCGAATTGTTGTTTTGCTAAAGAATCATTTCAGCAGGTTGCAAATAGACATTTTTTTTATAGAGTCCTATTTATGAAGTAATAAAAAATATTATTTGAGAAAAATTGTAAAATTTGAGTTTTGCATGCTTTTGTTATATTTTTCCTTAAATGACTGAAGATATATGGTGAGCAAACTTAGGCGATTTTACGGTATATAAATAAAAAATATTTTTAAAAAAATAATTATAATTATTCCTCTATTTTATTTAAATTAAAAATAAAACTTTAAAATATATTATTTTTTGATCATAAATTGTTAAATTTTTCTAAACTTAACTGTTGTAATAACATAAAAATCATAGATTAAAATCACATACTATTTTTTTAAAATTTTAAAATCACATACTATTTGCTTTGCTTTTATTACTATAACCTTGACTTTTATTCCAATTAAACGTTTTTGACAGGATAAATCTAACATTTAAAAAAAAAAAAATTAACATATAAATTTACAATCTTACAAATATGTGCTCATCATGAATAGTAATAAATATTTACTAAAAAAGTTTTTTTATATATGAAGCCTGAAAATTACAAAAAATGGAGCACAATTTTTACCAAAAAATCCTTTGCAACCAGCATTAAGCTCTTTTTCATAATCTTTTAATGATTGTGCACTTAATGTCATACTTGACTTTAAATTATTTAACTTCTCTTCAAGTTTATCAAATGACTTTGAAATAAAATCAAGTCGTCTATCTACAAATAACATTTTAGATAATAGTATCATTGTAGGTAATCAAGTCAACGTTGATAATCAAATCAATGTTGATAATAATACCAACTTTGATAATCAAGTCAATGATGATAATCAAGTCAATAATGATAATCAAATTAATATTGATAATCATATCAGTATTGATAATCATATCAATGTTTAAACACCAAGTCAATGTTCATAATCTTATCAATGCTGATAATCATATCAATAGTAACATATAATGTTAAATAATTTTTTTTTTAATAATTAAAATTTTAACAACTTATTTTTCAAATTTTTAGAACATACATGCATTTTCTTTTTTGGACATTAATTTGGATTCAGCATCTAAAGAATCTTTAACAGTATTCTTCAAAACAGCATCAGCTTCCTTAGAAGCATCCCCCATATTTGCTGACAGACACGATTTAACCTAAAATAAAAATTATAAATAAATTTTTTTTTTTGTGCTTTTTTTTAGCCATATTAATTTTCAGATTTTTTAGAAAAAAAAACAATTTTGTATTTCATTTATTTCCAATAAATCAAATTAAAGCACAGATTAAAAAATGTACAGCATCCATTATATATATTTTGTTAGTTTATAATCTTGTAATAAATCACTAGAGATTTAGCCATACATATATTTAAATAATTAACTTAAAATAGGGTTTATCAAGAAGTAGTATTCTGATATATCACATTATGTATTTATAAATTCTCTAATATAAAAATATTTTGTAAATAAAGAAATTTTTTTTTGTATAAAGTATATAGTCTAAAGTAATACATACAGAAAATCCAGCAGTGTTTATTGACATTTTGCTACTATAAGGTGCATTTACAGTCAAATTTGCCTCAAATAATCCAAACAATTTTCCGGCAACATTGAAATGCAGTCCTTCATCTCCAATCTTGATAGTAACTTCAGCAGATATACCAAGAACTGTTATACTTCCTCTTATTTCAAACTTTACCTAGAAAAAAAAAATTTTATGTTGAAAAAAACAAAAAACAAACTTTATATATATATATATATATATATATATATATATATATATATATATATATATATATATATATATATATATATATATATATATATATATATATATATATATATATATATATATATATATATATATATATATATATATATATATATATATATATATATATATATATATATATATATATATATATATATATATATATTAGTAGAAAATATATAAATTAGTAGAAAATCAATCAACAAAAATTTTTATTTCATTTTACACAAAAAAATTTTTTCATTTTGTGTTTCATCAACAAAGACTCATCAGAAATGAATGATCAAATTAATAAAATTTCAATTTATACCAAAAAATTCAATTATATTTCTTGCTAAGCATTTTTTTAAATTTTATTCTACATATATTAGACCACGTCTCCGTTAAATATTCGAAATCCAGTGCACAACAATGACAGAATTTAGATAACCATAAAATAGTATACTCCATTATTTTTTAACTTAACTTTTAGATTAGGGATCATCTATAAATTACGCGACATTAAAATTTCACTAATAAACATAACAAAAAAGATGAGAATTTCCCCCCGCAGAGTCGTCGGTTAAATAAAAAATCAAAATAGTTCATTAAGTTTAATGAAAATCGACACCTAAAAGAACTTACCTTCATCTTTTTTAAAAATAAATTTAGCGTTGCATAGTTTATGGATAATCCATTAGCGATTACTACTACTACTACTACTACTACTACTACTACTACTACTACTACTACTACTACTACTACTACTACTACTACTACTACTACTACTACTACTACTACTACTACTACTACTACTACTACTACTACCAAGTTTAGCATTATTATATAGACATTGTTGTGATTTTAATGTGCATCAATTATTTTTCTATAATTAGATTTGCTAATTATTGACAAAAGTCACATGTTGCATATTTTTACTATTATATCATTTTGTATAACCATCATTAATTGTTGACAAAAGTCACAAGTTGTATTTTCAAATGCTATATATAGCGAACAATTTTTTTGCAAAAAACATTGAGGTTGTTGATAAGTAATAAAAACATTAAAAACAAAATGGCTTTTAAATGTGTTGAACAGCAAGCTGTCCTGGTGTGTCTATTATTTCCGCAATATGAAGATGAACAACCAAAAGGATTTATTCAGCAGATGACTTCTTCATTTACAGATAAACATGCCACATCTAATCTAGTTTGTACAACCACGAATGCAGTCTTGACACAATCGTCAAAGCTTAACACATCTTTTCCCCGAAGAATGGCTCACAGAACAACCATCATTAATTCCAATAATAAATTGATCACAAAGTCAACCATCTCCCTCTGAAGGCAACAACTTGCATTCTTGAGCTGCTCGGATCACTCAATGCGCAAACATCAATTCTTCATTGCCACGATAAGTTTTCCCAAATTCATACTGTGAGATTAACGATAATTTTCTTATTTCCAATGTTTCCAGTTTCGCCACTAACTCTTCATATGAAATGTTCTCTGGCACTTCAGGTGCTGCTAATTCTACCATGGTCTTGTAAATCTTCAAAGGCAGAGCAGCAAGCAAGTACGCTACTCTGAAGTAATATTGTTTATCACAAAGAAGTCATTTGCTGAATAAATCGCTTTAGCTGTCCATCTTTATATTGCAGAGATAATAGACACGCCCCGTTAGCTTGTTGTTCAACAAATTTAAAAGCTATTCCATAGCGCTTGTGGATACTGGATGCTCGCAATCAATCACCACCAAGAAGTTACTGCTATCTGACTATAAAGTGATTTGTTTAGTGGATGTTGCAACAATGGGCGAAATAATTTGAGGTGAAGAAGTTGTTGCTAAAATACACCACCCAACAAACAGGTGCTTGGTGTATGCGTTGGTGTTATGTGTGGATGAAGTAATAAAAAAATACGACATGATTATGGGTATGGATCTAATAAAGTTGTGTGATGAACTGAAAATTGGCATTCGAAAATTGAAATTCTGTATTTCTTTGATTAGGTTGTCATCAATACCGCGTGTTGCAACAATCCAAATCGGAACAAGCAAAACTTATTTTGATGGCAAAAAATAGATTGTAAGTTGGGAGTGGGAGAACAAACCTAAAGGTAAAACAGAACAAGTCAGTAAAATAATAATGACTCTTTAGTGGATCTAAAAAGAGCATACCTACAAATTCACATGCATAAATGTCATTGGTCTTACCAAACTGTCACATTATCAAAATATGTTCACCAAGAGGGAGATATTCTCAATATGTGGTAATCTGGTTGCTAATCTACCAGTTGCGGGATGGTTGAGACTCACATGCAGTTTTGTAAATTGATTTACACACAAAGTAGGTTGGGATGAACCTATTGCAAATAAACATGTTAATGAAATGATGCAAGAAGTCGTGGATAAAGTCATCAAATGTGATCCAGAAAAGGGGTATGGAATATCAAACCAAATGCATCTCTAACTGTATGGTGTGATGCAAGTTTGCAGGCAAATGGCCTACAAACTTGCATCACACCATACAGTTAGAGATGCAAAAAAAAAACCTGACACACCTTTTGAAATCTTTTGTCAACAATACAAACGTGTCCAAATTCCTGGAATCCATAAATTCGAATCAACACAAAAGTCCCTGATTAAGTTTCAAAATAGGAAAGTTGGCGATAAAGTGTGGGTGAAGCCCAAGCATATGACGCCGTGCACATTGGCCAAACAGCTGTTTTTATGGACATTGGTTCATAACTTTTGAAAGGAAAGTGCTATGAGGTTGCTTAAAGACTTTTTAGAAAAGATTTTATGCGTAAATTTTGGAAAAACTGAGAAGTAATTTTGCTGCAGGATATTTAAGTCATAATTTAAAAGAACAAAATATTGAAAATATTTCATAAATTTTGCTTTTTTATAGGTTATAAAAAAAAAATGTATAAATATTTATAAATATGTATGTATATTTTGTAATACAAAGATACCATAGGTACATCAAAGATAACATAGGTACATCAATGGCAAAAACAATAAAAGTTATCAAAAGAAGTTCTGAAGTACATAATTTATTCATGTTAACATTTTAAAATATGTGTCATCTTCAGATAAAATGTTATTAGAGACATTTTATCAATTTCAAAATTTGCAGAATGGTTTTGACTTGTATTTCTTATCAAAAAAATTTGATCAGATGATATCTACATTCAAATAATGGTATCTGTTAAATTGACAATTTAGGAGTTTTTCTAGAGAGTCTAGTATGTATCAATCTTAATATTTTGTTATACCTTTTAACCCTGAATCATAAAGATTTCCCAAATCACTTCTCATTATTCAAAGTTAGCTCCAAAGAATGACCAATCAGTTTCTGAAGTGATGGTTTAATATTGATCCATGGTCCAGGTAAATTTATTTTTATAACAGGTGGAAATTCGTTATATAGGAATAAATAAAAATCTGTACAATGCTTTTATATTGAGCCACATTTATTTTTCTTTTTGAGGAAAATACTCAAAGAAAAAGTTGGTGGTTTTAATTGGTCTGAATCCCCTGAAAGGGGACTCAGACCAATTAAAACCACCAGCTTTCACAGGTACAATAGTTTTCATAAAATGGTCAAATGCACCCAATGAAGAACCTATAAAAATATCAGTAATTTTTAAATGTAATAAATTTTAATTCATGTATGTTCACATTTTAAAAATATAGAATAATATGAACACTATTACAAGATACCAGTTTACTTTTATTGGCTTTATTTATTCACAGGCTGGAATTGGTTTGAAGATTTGCCCAGCCCTTGTGATATAATCGGGTGTTTTTATAAGTAAAGAAACATATTCTTGTTCAAGTTGGTTAAATATAGTGTCTCGATTGATTACAAAACCATTTTCATTTCTTTCAATATCCAAACACTGATCTTTTGATACCCATCATATATGACAGCACTATCACATTAAAGTTAAATTGTTTTCCCTCTTTATACATAAGAAAACCTTCATTTTTAAACTTTTTTTATGTCAGAATTAAAGACAGATAATGAATGAAGAGTTTTTCTTGATTCTTTTCTCATTTGAAGACTCAGCGCAAATAGGTCTGAACCCTTTTTTTTAATTTCGAAACACTTTTAATGAACACATCTTCCCCTTATAAAAATATGTGCAAAATAATGTAAAACTATTTACATTAATATTTTTAAATATATTTTACAAAATTTTAAACTAAAGGGGTAGAGTTATTATTTTACTTTTTTTGTTTAAAAGTGCTAAGTTGGCACAATTTAGTTAAAAAGCATCTATTGCCAGCCTAACACTCTTTGAGATTTATAATTTGAGAATTATTTTTTCTTAAAAAAAAAATTAGTTAAAAAACAATAAAATTTTGCTAAATTTTAGTTGATTCAACTAGAGTTATAACTAGTATAGGTATAACTAGAGTTTCCAAAATGCCGGAAAATTATAATACCGGTTTTCGGTATTCAAAATAGTTCAATACTGGTATATACCGGATTTGCGCAGTATTTATAAAAAACTTTAAAAAAATTTAGCCTAATCCTTAGAAAACTTTATGAGAAGAAAAAATAAAATAAAAAAAGAAAATTTACACTTTTACAAGAAAATTTTTCTTTTTTTATTTTATTTTGTTTTACTCTTTAATATCTAAAAATTAAATGTATTATTTAAAATATTAAAAATATTTTATCAAACAGTAATAACTCAATAATTTAACGTTCAAAAAAATAGTACTTTAAAAATATTAATGTATTTAATATATCATAATTCATTCGGCTTCAAAGCTTAGTTAAAAATTTACCACCAACCAAAAAAGTTCTTTTGTTGGATGTTGACGTGGGCTGAATTGTTTTGAGAGCAGCATCGATCTTATTTAAATTCTATTAACTCCACTTGCTTTAAACAGCCTAAACTCCCTTAATATCTTTGAAAATGGATCAGAAC